TAGGGTAGAGCGAAAAAATTTACATCTGAAATGCTTGTGCCAATAGTGGGCAAAAGTTGCGTTATATAAAACTGTATTACCAAAATTTAATTTTTTATTTTTTGTCAATATCTTCTGCCTCCCCCTCGCTTGAGAAATAGCGAAAAAATGAACATCTGAAATGCTTGTGCCAATAGTGGACAAAACTTGTGTTATATAAAACTATAATACCTACCAAAAAATTTTGATTTTTTGACAATATCTTCTGCCTCCCCCTCGCCTTTGAAATTTAATGAAATGTTAATGAAACACCCTTTTCTTGCAAACATGTTGACGCCAATCTGTAATTCTGCTACACTTTTACAGGTCCAATATAGCACAGTAGTTACTACCGATGATATATTAACATTCTATAACATTTTATAGTAGGTTATTATACTCCTGTCCCCTAAGACCCCTCTTATATAGTGAAATTTAAAATTTTCAACAAATTTTCAAATAACCAGTAGGTCAAAAAAATATTATAAATATATAAAATGTTGGTAGACAACTAGAAAAAACACTATACCTTGTTATATAAAATAGTTTAATTATTGCAATTTTGACAGAAAAGTTTAACAATAAATAAGAAAAATATGAACAAAAACATTCTTCACGGCAAGCAGTAAGTAGCTAAGTAAAAACATTATAATTATGCAAAATATCGTGGGACAACAAACAAACAATGGTTTAATTCTTATAATGTAAACAGAATATTTTTAAAAAAATACGAAAAATAAGAACAAAACATTCTATAAAATATCTAATTTTCCAGTTCATTTATCCACGACGAAGTCTGACTTAGTATTAAATGATGACATTGTTTGTCTTGAATGTATTCCTGCTCTTAAAAATCCATCCCTAGCTTCAAACCCACAAACGGAAGTAGATGCATCAGTCACCAACTTAACGCACCTCTCGACGGCCTGTGTGTGGCAAGGATATTTTTTGAAGATTTCGGATGCCCAATTGTTAACTAATAAGTTTTTCAAGCTATCATCTGAGGTCCTTTTTGTAATTGGAGGTTCAGTAATCTGGACTTCCTGCCAGCATATCAAATCGATATAATCAGCAGCTTCAAATTTAAAAGAGGGGATTGTAAATACTCTTATTGGACGACATGATGACTGGATGGATGGATGACTCCTTGTTTTCATAATGCGTCGAATTCCAAGCTCTTTTACATAAGGCCTCTCATCAAACAACATTGTTAGTAATATATTTTCCGGGTGTCCGAAAAAACCATTCCTTTGAATAACTGGATCAACTATGGCTTTTAATTCACTGCATAGATATCGGGATAAATTAATAGTACGCCACAAATGTTCTGCACCCTTGTAACATGAAGGATTGCACTTGATGTGAAACCACACTGGCGTATACACTTTTATTATATGTTCGACGAGGGTCTTCAACTTAGTTGAGGGATTTTATGTACTAATATATAAACGCAAAATGCGGTTCGCCATCGTCAACCAACGCGAATGGACTATTTTACCAGGGTTTCGTCTGGCTAAACTTTGTGAGCAGTCACCTTTAACAACAGCATGCCATATCTCGAAGAGATATTTTTGATCTGTACTGAGATCTTTGGAAACGGCTTGAGGAACAACAGGAAAACATCCATCAATTTTTTCAAAATTAGCTAGGCTTAGTTTTTCACATGATTCTAACATCCGCCTAATAGGACCTGAAAATCCTCGGGGTCCAGAAGTTTGTCCATCTAAATGTTGAAAAAGGTGGCGAAGGGGTAGCTCATTTCCGTGCAGCATACACACTAACCACTGAAGAGGTCGGCCACAGTATTCCTCCAGTAATCTAATTACACTTCCCTTTATACCAGTGTTCACCACAGTTCCATCGCAGCCAATTGCTGCTAACTGGGTAATATCAATTTCATTATAGTTAAAAAAAGCAACGATACTACGCATAATGTCTTTAGCTGAACCGGAACGAGGCATCACATGTCCTAGATATTGACCATCGGGTTCTTGGATCAACGTTATGTGTTCTTCAACTATAGACTGACGGTAATATTTAGCGTCCTTCTTCACTTGCACCATTGTTTTATCTTTACGTCCGTCAAAATGTAGTCCGCATACACTAGTAGAAGAAAGTTTATCCTTTAACTGCAAGCGATTTTTCTGCCGTTCTCTCCTTACCTTACTCCGGTCAATTACTTTTGAAATATCTTCTAGTGATATTACTCCGACATCTTTTAACACTGCAGATGCAAGTGCAGCTGCAGTTCTGTCGGATACGGCATGTCTGTCACATGTACTAGCAAATAAAGTTAGGTTTAATCTCATTTGTGAAGCTTTTACTTTAGTTTCATCTGTAGAAGTAGATGTCGAAGGGGCACAATCTATTTTTAATTGTGAGTTGGAATAAATGGTAGTTTCTGATATTACAGAAGGCATAGACTCTTTTCTGAACATTTCTAGTCTCTCTTTCTCTATCTTCCTTCTTTTCTGTCTTTGCTGCAGTTGTTTTGTTAGCATTTTATCAGCTTTATTTATAACCATCCTCCTTGTAGTTCTCTGATCCAATAAAAATGTTATTTCTTCGGAGGGCACCTTGCGAGACTTACAACTGACACAAGAATTTTCAGATAAATCACACTTACATGCTGCAATATCAAACAAAGTGACCTTTGCTTCTTCTCTAAAAGTTATAATTTTATTTCGATATGACTTAATATGTTGTCTGCCTTTGAATGGTTTCATAAGTTTCATAAACTTTGCATGGTAAGACTGCATCATTTGTAAAATTCTTTCTCGAGAAACTACAGGAATAGAGGCTCTCTGCCATATTTTTTCCAATTCAACTGTTATTTCCTGTGATATTTCTACAAAGGCTGGTTCCCTTTTACTTGTTTTCTTATTAAACCTAATAAAAGCGTAAAATCTCATTACCTGTTCGTAAGTTGGCAAAACATTTTCATTCAATTTGGTTAGTGTCCCAAAAACAGGGCAGCTTACAGCACAACGAGTTGTTACACCTACTAATGACATTATTGCAGTTCAAAATCTGTAAAAGACAGTTAGAATATAGATAGAAGTTACACAGAATATATTTTTATTATTTTTTACCTCTACGAGAACGATAGCACTGCAAAACAAAGTTAATTATACTCCCACAAGAAAACACTAACTTTTTTATTATAAACATACGTAACCGACCAACAAGTTCTAGCCTAATTGTAGGGCAACTACAGACTGCGGTTGTTACATGCCATATACTTAGAACATGTTCACGTGACGTTACTAGACTAGCGACGTTGCCAAGCGGTGTAAAATTTAATATGAACTACTGATAATTTAAAATATTTGATAAGATCAAGGTCTTTGGGGAGACAGACGATATAAGAATAAATTGGAAATTCGGTGATATAAGCAATGTGTCATATAAGTACTAAGAAATGTGCTGTATTAGATTCGAAAAATAGAATTACAGTGAATATTAATAAAGTCATTTCCAAAATAAAATTTTCAGAATATCGCTGGTTTTAAACGGCGATGGGGAGACAGAAAATATTGATTAAAAAAAAAAATAAAAAAAATGTGTTAATAAGAAACATATAAGGCAAGTTTTGTACCCTATTAGAATTTGAAATTGGAAAAACCGCTGAAAATTGCTGTTTTCGCTCCACCCTACTGTAGATAATCCCTCTATAAAAGCTTGGCGATGACTAGTTACAGAATTATCCTGCCATATCTTAGGTACCGTATGTCCAGCATTCACCCACGTTTCATCGAGATAGTATATCTTTTTTTTAGCGGCTCTAAACTCTTTAATATTTCGTAAATAACGCCGTCGCCAGGAGACTATATCTGACCTCTCAATTAAAATTGATTTCCTACACCGTTTGACAAAACGAAATTTTAGTCACCATAAAATTTTTTGTAAAGTTTCACGGCTCATTAATGGAATTTCTTCGTTTTCTTTTAATTTCGTAACAACTTTAAGTGTTTTCGAAAAAAAAAAAAAATGTACAATTCTTCGAATGATTTGTTTTTGCTTATCGTCCAATTTCAACAATTTTCGACCACGAATATGCGTTTTAGGGGCTTCTAAGGAGCCTTTTATTGTCTTTTCGCGTACAATACGTTCAATTGTTGAAACAGATACTCCAGTTAAAAAAGAACTGCGGTTTACAGCTTCATTTGTAGGAAGTGTTTGTTTCAGCCCATCATATACTTTTCATATAATGTTCTTTTCATCCTTTAATAAGGGCTTTCGCCGACGTAATTGGGTTTCACTTGGACCCGCCTCTGAATCCATTACTATTGTAACAATATAATTCTACTATTAAATTGTTTTTATTAAATTTATAAAGACACCAATATTTTACTATTTAATAAACTTTTAAAGTACCTACCTAATATACTACACAATAAATATAACTTCTGGAATATGCACTACCACTACCAAATTATAAGGCACAAACATGAACACCTACTCGTATATCAGAAAAGATCACTTATACAAAAAAGTGTTTATAAAATATAAAATAATTATCGTAAATAGTTCAAATCTAACTTCGTCGAATTAGTTTTCAACTGTCTTTGTGCTTGTGCTGACAATATTCAATCTGTAACCCGTCTGTCGTTTATTTACTTGAAACACATTTTGAAACCATTAAACACAGATAACGAAGTCATTAGGGAATAAATATATTCATTTCTTGAAAACTATCAAAAACGTATATTTAACGCATCATCTTTGTTTAAATAAAAATGTTGACAAACAAATTTAATAAAATTTACTAACAAATACCTAATAAATAATAAATAATTATTTGGTATTTGATATGCGGCCTATGCTGACTCTGTCGGAATTTTTATTCATAGACAACAGTGTTGATCATACATATGACTCACCTTCTCCAATATTTTGTCCGTGTGACGTTTAATAACACTAATAATTTTTACATATTCATATTTATTTTAAGTGTATAAAAATTAGTATTGTTTGTTTAGATTTTTACTGACGGCGATCCAAATAAATGTATAGCAATTTTGAAAGAAATTACAAAGCATTTGGTAGAAACGAATTCTCTATCTAGAAGGCATGATGTTGAGCAAAATTGTCAGGAATACAAAAATTATGTCAACAGAAAATTTGAGGAACTAAAAATATTTGACAATCGTTATACGAGATTATAGTAAGTGGTTTTTATTATGACGTTTGCAGATATTTTTTATCTGTTATTTTATGGGGGTTGTCTTTTTAATTTTGCAGATAGGGCTGGAAAGAAACGGTAAATAGATGTTAATGACTTAATTATTGTTTTGCAAAGCATTCTCCACAAAGATTAATGAACTTTTGGATTTGCTTGAAACAACTCTGGAAGCGGTTATTCTACTGTAACTTTTGACCGCACCTTACCGCACAGTCCCTTTTTTATTTTCGAAAATGTAAAAAAATCGTTGGGCTTAAGCGATGGTTTAACAAATCAACGTTCTCTTGCTCTAAAAAATCAATTATCTTGCAACCTACGTGCGAACTTGCATTGTCTGGTGGATAATGATTCGTCATTCAGGGTTGGTTCTTCAAAGCTCAGCTATTACTTTCAGCAAAAAAGGATGGTATACCAAGTGACTAACAGTTCTTTGAACTTGCAGAGGGAATGTTGCTACATGACCTGCTTTTGAGACAAATGTCGCGATCATCTTTTTGGAAACACAGAACGTTTCACCACCTTGGAATACCCAAACAGACGATTGGCGTTTATTTTCAGATTCGTATGATTAAATCCACGATTCATCACCACTGACGTCTTTAGAGCTTCTTTCTGTTCTTGGGTCAATAGATGATGTATCCAACAGGAAACAATTTTTCTTACATACAATTCTTCAGGCCAAGTTCTTTTACTTGAAGTTTTTGAAATTCCCAATTATGCGTCATACATCACACGTCGCTCTTGACTGCCATTTTTGGTGAACTCTTCGAAGCATTCTTGTTGAGATAATTTTCATCGAAAGTTGTTAAAAATGATTGCGCGAATATTTTCTCGATGTAATTTCATAGTTCGATTAACTTGCTAAATTTGAAAAATCGCTGTAGCTACAACACTATACGTATAGCACTGAAACTTTGGATTTAGGTCAAGAAAATATAGGTTTATTTTTAATATTAACGTTTAAATTGTGGTGCCCTCTATGTTCCTGTATGCAAAACTAAAAAGACTTCCCTCGTATCTAAACTAAAGCAATTTGTCTAGTATGGTCTTTCCTAGAATCCACATTCTTAGGAAGAAGCTTCTCATTTTATTTTTGCATTTTCAAGTGTACACAACATTACATGTGACTGCTAGAGATTTATATTCCACCATTCAAAAATATTTGTTTGTTATCGACAGCTTTGTGCGTGCTCTTGTCTGTGTTTATGACACTACAAAAATATTGTACCTGTTATTCGTTTATTATATTTTATTAATTCAATTTCATTTATATTTTTAGCGAAGATGTTTTTTTGGTTTGAGAAAAACAGGAGTATTAGAATTAAATAATATGTATTAAGTTACTGTTAACTTATAAAATAAACTTTTATACACTATACAACGATACCTGTTGTTTCATTTTTTTATTATTAATAAGGTCCATTGTTTTTTATTTATTTATTTATGTAAGGTAAGTTAGGGTAATTGCATGGTAAAATTTGAACAGCTCATATTTAGGTCTCCACTGTGTTAGTATTTCCCTTAGAAAAAATCTGAAACTTACTGGGTACATTCTTTGCAATGTAATTTATTATTTTTGTTAAATAAAATAATTTTCTTTATTTCACTTACCAGTTTTTATATTATTTTTTTAAAATGATGTCAATATATCACATTTGCCCCATGATTTGGGGTAAATGTGATAACGTCGTCCAAGCGCTTATTGCGATTGGTTAGGTAGCCTGTAGGGGGCATTTGTAAAAATTGATAAAATTCTGTGCATTTTGGTATTTGAAAGGTCTGTTTTGGATAAAAAATAACGCAAATAAGTACTAAATTTTTAGTTTTATCCGATTTTAATACAAAAATATAGCAAAATACAAAACTTATTTTATATTATTTATTAATATACAAAAACTAGAAAATACCAGTAACAAATCTTTTTTTTGTAATACGTATTAATTATTAGAGATTAAAACCTTGGAATTGCACTGTGAACTGCACTGCCCCTCTTCTGGTTTCTTTTGGTTCAGGAAGAACTTTTATTGTGTTTGTACTCTCGACCATTGAAATATATTCAACGTCAGGCCAAAAAAACTTATTTTTTTTGGATCTTAAAAATTTGATAAGCGAGTCTTGTTTCTCGATTATTTTGCCAACAAAATGCTTAACAATTTTCTTTGTTGCAAATTTGACCAACACCCACTTATTATTTTTTAAAATTTGGGGTTCCTCATAAGTTTAAACTATTTTGGGTGCCAGGTCACCAGGGGGTCGAAGGCAACGAAAAGGCTGACGAACTTGCAAAAAGAGGGTCAGAAGAACCACCGGAACCAGACACAAACCCAGGAGTACCAAAAAGTACAATCCGGGGTTTCATAAACGACTGGATTCGGGAACAATATATCAAATATTGGTGAAGCACCCCAAAACAGGCACATGGAAAAGCCTTCATAGGCAAACCATTTCCCAAAAGAACTGAAGAACTACTCTTTATTAATAGGAACCAGTTGAAAGTGATAACAGGGTTCATGACTGGGCACTGCCCAGTAAAGGGACACTTGAACAAAATTGGCATGTAGGTACAATGGGGAACTCATGTGCCGACTATGTCACAAGAAACCAGAAACGGCCAAACACATACTGTGCGAATGCGAAGCTCTAGATCGCAATAGATAGGCTCTTTTTGGACAACCCCAGGTTGATCCAACAACGTATAGAACCCACTCACCCAAGGATCTGTACAAACTTGTACAAGGTATAAAGGTGACAGAGTGGGTACTATGAACTAACATGGGGTAAAACAAAAAGCCAATAGGCTTTAGTGTTATTCGAAGACATAGTCAGACGAGCCCAGGGATAAAAAGTTTTAATATTCTCACTTTCTAATAATCCTCTGAATTATCTGACTCTGAAATGGTAAATGTCCAGATTCACTGGAGGAGCTAGATGCTTTTCTTACCCTAGTTTTTGAATTCGCCGTATCGGTAACATCATCAACATCTTGCTTTGGCGCTGTTATAAGCTCAGCCCCAACCGCTAATTTTTTTTTGGAAATTTTGTTGGAGCTTGATTTTGAGTCACGTATTTTACTAAAAGTGACTCAAATGAAGCTTTGCTAGTGATGGCTTTAGCTGTGCTATTGATCGTCTCAGCTAGACTAGTGTTTGCTTCATTTAAATTGGTGCTCGTTTCTGCTGTGGAGGTATTTACAGGACCAACTTTAGCGGTTTCCAAATTGTTTAAAGTGTTTTAGGTTTGAGCTTTCCATCTTTTCAAGGCCTCACTGTCAAATTTTTCTCTAGAGACTACTTCGTTGTTAAAAGAAACAATGCTGCCTTTTCTGAAACCATTTAGAATGAAGCTGGAATTAGCTTCTGACCAGGTCTCCGCAATTAACTTAGAAAACAAATTTTTTGGAAGGCGTCTTAAAAACCAACAAGTCCAGTGGTTGGAGAAGGTGGGTTGTATGTGGCGGTAGCTTGATAATTGTTATATTTTCCTCGTTTGCCAAATTAATTAAAGCCGTAGATACATGAGTTTTATGGCCATCATATACAGGGAGAGTCGGAAGAAGCGCACCAAACTCTAGGAGTATATTATATACGTGAAAATAATGTAAAAAAACTCATGTTCTTATCCGATTTTCATTTGTTTTCAAGTTATAGCATATTAACAAATAAACAAATTTACACATAAAAATTCTCTTAATCATAGCGTTCTTTCAATAAATGTTCAAAAATACCGCGATTGACTTCTAAACATTTTCTGCTTCATCTACGAAGAGCGTTTGTTGCTCTCCTAATTGATTCATTTCTTTCTTCTTTAATATGGGCTGCAGTATTCTCAATTCATCTAATTAGTGCATCCCATGTGTCCACTTTTATTTTGTAGACGTCATTTTTTATCCAGCCCCATAAACAAAAATCTAATGGTGTGAGGTCTGAAGATCTTGCAGGCCAATTAATAGGACCTCCACGACCAATCCAACGCCCTGGAAAACGTTCGTCCAAATGTTGCTTGACCTGACGAGCGACATGTGCAGGAGCTCCATCGTGCTGATAGTATATCTGCATTCTAATATTTACAGGAACATCCTCTAGCAGGCCTTGTAATTCATTTTGTAAAAAATTGAGGTAGTTGTCTCCTGTAAGACGATTGTCCAAAATGAAAGGGCCAATTAAATAACTGTCAATCATACCACACCACACGTTTACAGAAAACCGATGTTGAAAATTGCTTTCGACTGTTGCGTGGGGATTTTCGTCTGACCATACATGATAGTTACGAGTATTATTAATGCCATGACGGGTAAATGTAGCTTCATCCGTAAAGAGTATACTCGATACAACACGATCATTATTATTTATCCACCGACAAAACTCCATACGGTTAGCGTAATCCTGTGGTTGTAGATGCTGTAGTCTCTGTACGTGATAAGGATATAAGCCTTGCTCGTGGAGTGTGTTTATCACTCTTTTTCGTGGAATTCCCAATTTAAGTGGCAATTCTCCATGAGCTAGTCGTTGCATCTTCTACTAGATGCAGATTATTTTTTACTTCTACAAAACTTTGTCGAGTAGCGCGTTTAGATGTTATGAAAGCACTGGGAAGCTTACCAGTCTCGCACAATTTGTTGAAAACTAATAAATACGTTTTTATCAGGATGTCTTCGGCGTGGAAAACGTTGACGATATTCTTCAGCAGCAGCTGTAGCATTTCCATTATAGAAACCATAAACAAACACCATATTTGCATATTCTAAATTTGAATAAGTATCTGGCATTTTGCAACACTAACAATCACATAAATTCGAAATTAAACGTTCAGTTACTGTTCAGTGTACACTGACAGTTCATCAAAATGTCAGAATTATCAAATGCCTTTGAGCCTTGAACATATGGCATACTTTGATAATGTTAAAATTCAGAAGTGGAAAGCTAGATGAACATTTTTAATTACGCCATAACTTGAAAACAAATGAAAATCGGATAAGAACATATGAGTTTTTTTATATTATTTTCACGTGTATAATATACTCCTAGAGTTTGGTGCGCTCATCCCGACTCACCCTGTATATTAAGTTGAGGCCTCTCTGGGCCTAATAACAGTATTTTTGAAATAATTTAAAAACATTCAGCATCCATCCAACCTTTTTGACTGGCAGCATACGACATACCGGGAAAAACACTGTCCGGAGCCTGCCACTGGTCCCATATATTGGCACCTTTAAAAATAATTAGTGGCGGTGCCTTTTCCCCTGCAGCACTTGCCAGAAAACATATTGTTGTGTTTTCGCGCCTGGGGGTCCTTGTTACTCTTGCACAGGGTTTTCCACTTTTACCAACCACTTTTGTCTTGCTAGGATCTGCTAGGATCTATGGAAAAACTACTTTCATCAAGGTTCCAAATTTGGGCAGGTTTATTTTTTAGGTTCAGTTCTTTCAACGTTTTTTCCAAAAGATCGAAGTTTTGATAAATAATAAATGGATCAGTGGCTTTTTTTCTATCATACTCAACTGACTGAGGTACTTTAATGCTAAGATTATGCCTTTTTTTAAAACCTAGGAGTTTCTAACTTATTTTCTTTAAAGAAAAGAGAAACTTGTTCCAAAACTTCCTTTTTTGATAGTCCAAAACCCCACTTTTCCAAAGTGGCCATCCAGAGGCTACCTCCTGCTATTTATTGCTCGTTAATGCTGTTTGTCGACATTTAAAGTTTTCATTCATTCCTCGAAGTTCTTTTACGCGACTATATATGGTACTGTATGGTATGTTGTATCTTGTCCCAGCTAGCACAGACACGTGATTTTCACGTGAAATACACGTCACATTTTACGTCGAAATCACCAATTTATGACGTGCTAGTGACGTGATTATGACGGCAATATGTCACAGATCAAAGACGTCATACAGCGACGTGACAAACACGTCACCAGATAACGTGTTTAGACGTCAAAAAAACACCATAATATTCATTTAAAAATGTTTAATTTGTAATAAAAATGTTTATAAAAACGTTTTATTTAACAATTGTTTAATAAAAATATGTTTTATATAAAAAAAGATAGGGTACTGCATAAAATTTCTGAATTGAAACATAGTAAGTATAACTAACCTGAACTATTACGAAATAAACATTACTTCTTAGAATATGTACTTAGAATGTATAAATTACAAAAGATTATATAGCAGTGTCCAGATATTCAACAAATCATTCCGAATATACAGGCTTGAAGCAGCTTCAGTGGTATCCTTATTAAATTTTCGTTTCACTAAAACAAAAATATAATAGTTATAACTACTAGAAACTTAATTATTC